AAAAAAAGAGGAATTTTTTGCAGCATGCTGACCTTTTCTTAGTTTCCTTTTTTGTCCTTCACAAATGCTCGTAGCAACACAGCCTTTGCGTACTTCGAGAGGCGTTCAAAGCTGCACCCCCACACCTTCCCCTCTCTCGAAAATATCCTCTGCAAATAACGGGCGGTCCTCGGCTTACGGCCGCAACTGACGTTTCTGTTGCAAAGCGAGACCTCTGTTAAGTGAGCTTTTGCCCCGTTTTTTTGACCCGCCTCGCCACAGAATCGCTTGCAGCGGTTAACTTAGTAACGCGGTTGTTAAGTTGCGTCGGGAGTTTGATCACGTGACCAGGGGGGGAGGCTGCCGTGGTTGTAACTGGAAAAAAGGCCACCAGTCCCTTTTTTCAGTGCCGTGATAATGTCGGACGGTCGCTAAACGGACGGTTGTAAGTCAAGAACCACCTGTATAACACAGCTAGGCAAACTTGGGGATCAATTCGAAACTTTATACCCTTTCTCCCCCCCTACTTCTTCCCCCCCCGAACAAAACTGCCAAATTCAACCCAGCCTGGGATCCGCTTCCTAACTTCCCAACATTTTGCATTCTGCAAAAATACAAATAACGATTTTTGAACATCCTTCAGACCGTGCTTAGCGCTTTTCTATCTTCTGAAAGGAGCCACCATCTGGTTTGACAAACCAGGAAATTGCCAGGATTGGCGGAGGGAAGGCTGAGCCGGTGCCCATCCACCGTGCCCCCTATGGAAATGTTTAATTATCTACTTGTCACCGGGGCTCAGCTTGACGGAAAAAGTCTTCTAGGTTTCCCCGGTTCCTTGAACTGCTGTTGACAGCTCGAGGCGCGATTTGGAGGCAAAACCACAATGCACAATGGCGGGATGTGTGTGTGTGTATGATTCCGGGATCACCCTGTGTTGTTATTTATGACCTCTTTTGCAGAATCTTCGGAGGGAGGACCATAATCCTTTCTTTACCAGGAAACAATCCGTTTCCCCTGCTTGGCAGACAAGAGGATTCTGCACAGAAGGCGCTGGGTTCAATTCCCCAGATTAGTTTCAGCAAAAATGGGAAAGGGAAGGATGGGGCCTGCCCGGAGTGGAGGAATTCTGTTTAAACTGTTTACTGGGATAAACAGTATTTAGGAGGTACCAGGATGGTTTCCCAAGCATTCTTCCTTCGCTTTCCTTTCCCACTCCTTTCTTCTTTATTTCTTTTCCTTCCCTTTTCCTATCCATTTACCGCCTTCTCTTCTCTCCCCTCCCTTCCTTCCACCTTTCCTTTCCTTCCACCCTTTTCTTCCCTTCGCTCCCCTCCCATCTTCCTTTCCTTTCCTTCCCCTTCTCTTCCCTTCCCCATTCATTTATTGTCTTTCCCATCCATTTACCTCCTTTCCTTTCCTTTCCCTCTTCTCTTCTCCTTTCCTTTCCTTTCCCTCTATAATAATAATAATGATAAAATTGGAAGGGACCTTGGAGGTCATCTAGTCCAGCCTCCTGCTCAGGCAGGAAACCCTATACCATTTCGGACAAATGGCTATCCAGTCTCTTCTTAAAAACTTCCAGTGTTGGAGCATTCACTGTTTCTGGAGGCAGGTTGTTCCACTGGTTAATTGTTCTGACTGTCAGGAAGTTTCTCCTTAGTTCCAGGTTGCTTCTCTCCTTGATGAGTTTCCATCCGTTGCTTCTTGTCCTGCCTTCAGGCGCTTTGGAGAACAGCTTGACTCCCTCTTCTTTGGGGCAGCCCCTGAGATATTGGAAGACTGCTATCCTGTCCCCCTCATCCTTCTCTTCATTAAACTAGACATACCCAATTCCAGCAACCGTTCCTTGTAAGTTTTAGCCTCCAGTCCCCTGATCATCTTTGCTGCTCTTCTCTGTACTCTTTCCAGAGTCTCAGCATCTTTTTTACATCATGGTGACCAAAACTGGATGCAGTATTCCAAGTGTGGCCTTACCAAGGCATTGTAAAGTGGTATTAATACTTCACCTGATCTTGATTCTGTCCCTCTGTTAATGCAGCCTAGCACTGTGTTGGCTTTTTTGGCAGCTGCAGCACACGGCTGGCTCCTATTTAAGGGATTGTCCACTAGGACTCCGAGATCCCTCTTCTCCTCTCCTCTCCTCTCCTCTCCCCTTCCATTCACTCCCCTCCCCTCTTTCCCCTTTCCCTCTTCCCTCTTGCTTCCCTTCCCTCCCAGATCTCCAAACAGAAAGACATTTGCGTTCAGAAAAATTCCGGAACATTTCATGCTCGTATGCATTTTTACCTGCCCTCTGCAGAAATTCGGTCCAATTATGCTGCCTGTTCGGAAGGCTCACGATCCCTAGAAATGAAAGTAAATTAGGGGTCCTGCATTCAATTGCCCCTCAAAAAGCAACCCAGGGCAGGTTTTTTTTTATATTTTTGTATATCATTTTTTTTTATTGAAACATTTAAACTAGAAGATAAAAATGAAACCAGCAGAAAGTAAAGAAGACAAAAGAATAAGGGGAAAAAAAACCAAACAAACGTGTGCATAAAATCTTTAAACGAGAAAATAAAAACCCAGACAAACTAATATAAGAAAAAAAGGAAAGGAAAGAAATCAAAGAACAAGCCCAAAAAAAATGCAAGCAAAAAAAAAAAACAGAAAGGAAAAAAGATATTTAAAAAAGTGGCTTCTAATATTCTTCGCAGCTGTTAAAAGTACAACTATATTTTAACCTCTCTCCAAAGTTACAATCACATTACTCTTCTTTCTCGGATCTATCCTACCTAATCCTCAAAACCAGAGATTGTAAGTTCATTTTCTTCTTGTTTTTACACAAAAACCCACATTAAGAAGCTTCAAGTGACAGCAGGTTGTGGGGTTTTCATTTGGAAGAAAGACAGAAATAGGAAATAGTTCTCCAGGGGCGGGAAAGAGGATTTTGAACATACTTACCCTGAGCCTGGACACAGATTTTGTTCCTGATTTGAGGCTTTGCAAATTAATAATAATAAAAAAACAAACAAACAAAAAAAGGGGAAAAGCAGGTTAATAACTGGAACCAAAAGGGTCAGGCAAGCTTTTGCAAAATAGTTAGCATTTCAGAGATCGCTATTCTAAATGTCTGCAAATGAGAGGTAGAGAAAAAAAAACAAGCTTCTCTTTTATTTCCTGGTTGCTCCCCTCGATTTATCAGGATCACTTGCCCCCAGTCACCCCTCTATCATCAAGACAAGCTTAGGATACAGGAGGACCTGGACAGACTTGAACACTGGGCGCTATCTAACAAAATGAAATTCAATGGTGAAAAAAGTAAGGTTCTACATTTAGGCAAGAAAAACCAAATGCACAGGTATAGTATAGAGGGTACCTTCCTCAATAGTAGTAACTGTGAGAGGGATCTCGGAGTCCTAGTGGACAATCACTTAAATATGAGCCAGCAGTGTGCTGCAGCTGCCAAAAAAGCCAACACAATTCTAGGCTGCATTAACAGAGGGATAGAATCAAGATCACGTGAAGTATTAATACCACTTTAAAGGCCTTGGTAAGGCCACACTTGGAAGACTGCATCCAGTTTTGGTCACCACAATGTAAAAAAGATGTTGAGACTCTAGAAAGAGTGCAGAGAAGAGCAACAAAGATGATTAGGGGACTGGAGGCTAAAACATATGAAGAACGGTTGCTGGAATTGGGTATGTCTAGTTTAACGAAGAGAAGAACGAGGGAGGACATGATAGCAGTGTTCCAGTATCTCAGGGGCTGCCCCAAAGAAGAGGGAGTCAAGCTATTCTCCAAAGCGCCTGAAGGCAGGACAAGAAGCAACGGATGGAAACCAAACAAGGAGAGAAGCAACCTGGAACTAAGGAGAAACTTCCTGACAGTTAGAACAATTAATCAGTGGAACAATCTGCCTCCAGAAGTTTTTAAGCAGAGACTGGACAGCCATTTTTCCGAAATGGTATAAGGTTACCTGCCTGAGCAGGGGGTTGGACTAGATGACCTCCAAGGTCCCTTCCAACTTTATTAATAATAATAATAATAATAATAATAATAATAATAATAATAATAATAATAATAATAATAATAATAATAATAATAATAATAATAATAATAATATAAAGTCCCTCCATTCAGGCAGGTGGGAAAAAAATTAGACACAAGAAGCAGAGTCTTTTCCGTAATTGTTGATATTGACCGAGTGATCAATACGCAAGAGACTTAAAACGCTACCATTATTTAGGATCATTTTTTTCCTCCAAACAGCATACGCAAATTACTGCCATTAGACAAAAAAAAAAAAAAAGGTCTCCTGGTGGAATTATTCTGCATTTAAAAAAATTGGTTCTCTTCTTTTCATTTGAGATCCTGGTGAGGCTTTTATCTTACGCAGGCTGTCTAGAAATACACAGGCAGTCACGACCGCAATTGGCCCCCAGATTTCTGTTGCTAAGTGAGACCTTTGTTAAGTGAAATCTGCCCCCATTTTATGAACTCTGTTGCCATAATTGTTAGGTGAATCACTGCAGTTAATAATAATAATAATAATAAAGTTGGAAGGGACCTTGGAGGTCATCGAGTCCAACTCTCTGCTCAGGCAGGAACACTACACCATTTCAGACAAATGGCTGTCCAGTCTCTTCTTAAAAACTTCCAGTGTTGGAGCATTCACAACTTCTGGAGGCAGGTTGTTCCACTGGTTAATTGTTCTAACTGACAGGAAGTTTCTCCTTAGTTCTAGGTTGCTTCTCTCCTTGGTTAGTTTCCATCCGTTGCTTCTTGTCCTGCCTTCAGGTGCTTTGGAGAATAGCTTGACTCCTTCTTCTTTGGGGCAGCCCCTGAGATACTGGAAGACTGCTATCATGTCCCCCCTCATCCTTCTCTTCATTAAACTAGACATACCCAATTCCAGCAACCGTTCCTTATATGCTTTAGACTCCAGTCCCCTAATCATCTTTGTTGCTCTTCTCTGCACTCTTTCTAGAGTCTCAACATCTTTTTTACATCGTGATGATCAAAACTGGATGCCGTATTCCAAGTGTGGCCAAGTGTCGTTCAGTTAGTAACCCGGTTGTTAAGTGAATCGGTCTTCCCCCATTGATTTTGCTGGCTGGGATAAGGTGATCTCGGGGATCACATGATCCCGGGACATGGCAACTGTCATAAATATGAGTCAGTTGCCGAGCCACTGAATTTCGATCACGTGACCCAGGGGGAATGCTGCAACGGTCATAAGTGTGTGAAAAACAGTCATCAGTCCCATTTTTCCCTCCTGTTGTAACTGTGAACGATCACTAAATGAATGATTGTACACCAAGGACTATCTGTTTTTCTTTTCGTTTTGGGTCCCGGTAAGGCTTGGATGCTACACAGGCCATTCAGAAATATATTCAAGGAAAAGGAAGGAATAAAGACCTCAGTGCTAGCTTTAAAAACTGGGCCGTCTAAAGACCCAGCAAAGGGTGACGCTGCCTAGATTTCTGGTTAAAATTACCCTTTTTAAAAAGCAGCTTCTCAGTGACGTCAGAAGCTAATCAGAGCTGCAGTGAGCTTCAGTCAATATTGATGGCAAGCTCCAATCAATGTCTGTAACTTGATACAATTATCAGGTTTTTGGCAAAGCAGATTTTTGAGAGAGAGAGACAGAGACAGAGAGAGACAGAAAAAGAGAGAGAGAGACAGAGAGAGAAAGAGATAGAGACAGGCAGAGAGAGAGAAAGAGAGAAAGAGAGAGAGGCAGAGAGAGGCAGAAAGACAGACAGAGAGACAGAGTGTGTGAGAAAGACAGAGAGAAAGAGAGAGAAAGAGATAGGTAGAAAGACAGAGACAGACAGAGAGAGAAATAGAGAGACAGAGTGAGAGACAGAGAGAAAGAGAGAGAGAAACAGAAAGACAGAGAGACAGAAAGAGAGATAGAAATAGAGAGAGTGAGAGAGAGAGAGACAGAGAAAGAGAGAGAGAAAAAGAAACAAAGAGAGAAAGAGATAGAGAGAGAGAGAGGGGCAGAAAGACAGACAGAGAGACAGAAAGACAGAGACAGACAGAAAGAGAGAGACAGTGTGTGAGAAAGACAGAGAAAGAGAGAAAGAGACAGACAGACAAATAGAGAAATACAGAGAGA